CGTCAGGGAAGGAGAGGATGCGGTCGTGGATGTCGGCAGCACAGGCAGCTGCCTGCACGTCCTGGTCGGTGGCGCCGACGCGGCCGTAGCGGATGTTGTTGGCGATGGAGTCGTTGAAGAGCACCGTGTCCTGTGGCACCACGCCCACGTGGGCGCGCAGCGACGCCTGGCGCACCTGCCCGCAGCCGGCCGTCAGCCGGGCCTGCGCCCAGGCACCCCCAGCCCCGGGGTCCGTTCAGGGGGGTGGGGAGGTTGGACACCTGTGGGCTGGGGCTGGCACCGACGGGGCGGTGGAGGGAGGGAGACCTGCTCGGGAGAACCCGGGACGGCCGTGGTGGCGCTGACCTTGGCGATGTCCTGGCCGTCGATGCGGATGCAGCCGCTGCCCACGTCGTAGAAGCGGAAGAGCAAGCGCAGGACGGTTGTCTTCCCCGAGCCTGACGGGCCCACCTGGCGCGGGGACACGGGAGAGCCAAGCAGGGCCAGGGTCACGGCTGGCCAGGGACGCTGCCCTCACCCCCGCAGGCACGGCCAAACCCTGGGGGCTGGAGGGGGCCGATTTACCCTGCCCCCCAGCCTGGGGGTCAACCCTTGCCTGCCCAGGGCACTGCGGGCTGTGGCTCAGCAGGGGTGAGGCCTGTTTCCGGGCCCCCCCCACGGCCTGGACTGGTCCCAGCAGCCCCCGCCCACAGCCAGGCCCCCCCGGGCCGCGCTCACCAGCGCCAGTGTCTGTCCGGGCATCACCGAGAAGGACACGTCCTGCAGGATTTCCTTCCTGGGGGCGGGCAGGGGTCAGTCCAGGCCTTGGGGGCAGCTGGCAGGGCCCGGCCCCTTGCCTGCCCGCCCCCACGCCTGCCCACGCCCCCTCACCCGGCCACGTAGCTGAAGTGCACGTTCTCGAACTCGACGCGGCCGGCCTGGAAGCGCAGGTCCCCGGCGTTCACTGCGTCCTTCACCTGCCGGGCGGCGATGCTGACTCAGAGCCCGGCGCCGGGGCAGTGGGGGGGATGGCCGGGGTGGGCCGAGGGATTGGGTTGAGGCTTTAGGGCTGGAGATGGGACTAGGGATTGAAGCCAGGCCTCAGAAACCTAGTGGGCAATAGGACTGGACAAGGGATTGGGGCTGGAAATAGGAATGGGGGTAGGACAAGAGGGCTGGGGCGGGGCAATAGGAGCAAAGGCGGGGCTAGGGTGGGGGTGGAGCATGGGGGGCACCCACCTCCTGCTCCTCGTTGAGGAGATCGAACATGTTCTCCATGTCGACGAAGGAGCTCTGGATCATCCTGCACGGGCAGAGGCAGGCGCTCATGGGGGACCCACAGGACCGGGGGGTCCCACAGCTGGGACCACGCGCAGCCAGGGGGGCTCCGAGGCCAGGCGGTCCATGCCCGGCGGTGCCCCCGCTGCCCCCTCACCTGTAGTAGGTGCCGAACCAGTTGAGCGGCGTGTAGAGCTGGATGATGTAGGTGCCGAACAGTACGAAGTCGCCCACCTGCAAGAGGCGGGGGTCAGAGCTGGGCCAGGGCAGGGACCAGGGGCAGGGGCCAGGGGCCGGGGCAGGGGCCGGGGCAGGGGCCAGGGCTGGCTGGGCCGGGCTCACCTGGAACTTGCCCTCGGAGACGAAGTAGGCGCAGAGCAGGGAGCCGGCCAGCAGCCCCAGGCCAATGACCAGGTTCTGGGTCTGGTTGAGCAGGGCCAGCGACGCGTTCACCTTCCACTCCGAGCTCTGGGCCCAGGGGCAGAAGGGCATCCCCGTGAGAGGCTACCCCCCCATCAGCTCCGGGCCCCCAGGAGAAGGGGCCTGCGGACCCTGTGCAGGCCAGCCCCGAGCCCCGGGAAGCGGCAGGGCGGGGGGCACCAGCCCCATGGGGACAAGGCTCCAGCCCTGTCCCCTGCAGGGAGAGGAAGGCTGCTGTTCAATTCCCCTCGGTCTTCCCTTCTGCAGACTCAGTCAGCCCATTTCCCTCAGCCTCTCCTCACCAGTCCTGTCCCCCAGCCCCACAACCACTTTCATTGCCCTCCTCTGCACTCTCTCTGCAACGTGTCCACATCCTTTCTATGGTGGCGGGGCCCACAGCTGGACACACGACTCCAGATGCGGCCTCCCCAGTGCCAAATAGAGGGGAAGGGTCACTGCCCTCCTACCCATGCAGCCCCGGATGCCGTTGGCCTTCTGGGCAGCAACAACCCATTGCAGAAACCCATCCCAAATCAACCCGTCCCCTGCCCCAGTGACACGAAGCCTGTCGTCCCTCTGGCCCCCGCAGCCGGCACAGGCAAGGCCTCACGTCGTGGTGCCGCAGGGCTCAGCCGGGCAGAGGGACCAGAGCTCGTCCCTGCACGTGGGGGCGTCACCGATAAGCAGCCACGTCCCACACCGGGGTCACAGCGCTCGACCCGTCTCCCCCACTCCCCGGCAGGCGGGCTGTGGGTCATGGGCAGCGCGAGTGTCTCGGGTCGGTGCCCGAGGGCCCCGCCAAGAGAAGGGGCCTGTCCCCAAGCGCCGCGTCCTGTCTCCCACGGCTCGGGCAGCCCCGGCCCTCGCGCCACGTCACCTGGTACTTGAGGATGGCGGCGTTGAACCGGTCAACCTCGTAGCTCTCAGCGTTGTAGTACTTCACCTGCGACACACGGGCCGAGGTCAGCCCCACTGCCCGGCCCCACGCAGCCCCCTGCCCCACGCCAGGCCCCCCAGCACCGTTACCGTCTCGAAGTTGAGCAGCGAGTCCACGGCGCGGGACTTGGC